CTGCCCCCCCACTCCTCTACCCCCCTCCACCTACCTGTTCCTGCTGCCATTGCACACTGCAATGTGTAGGCTCAGGTTCTGGACATGCTTAGAAGTCTGGACATGCCCAGCCAAGCCTGCCACTTCTGCACATGCTCAGAAGCAGTGGGCCTGGCTCCTGGAAGGGAAACCAAGCCTGGTGCTTGCTTCTGAGGACAACCGTGTGTGGCAGAGGTAGGAAGGAACAGGTTGGTACGAGGGGGCATGAGCCAAGCTCACTGCTTCTGGGCATGCACAGAGGCAAGGGCCTGCTTTGGGAAGCAACTTGGAAAAATGGTTCCAAGTCCCAACTTACATTCGAGTCATTGGGGGAAAACTCCAAACAAAGTCCATGTTAAGTCTCAAGTCCCCATCCCTATAAAACTTTGAGGAATTTTGCAACACATGTCAAATAATGTTTCAATGAGAAAAGAGATCCCTCAAAAAAGGCTTGAATCTATCGGTTAGATAAATGAGTTACTGACTATGTCTACAACATGTGACTTAAGGCAGCTAGGTAGGACAATGGGGCCATATGAGACGATGCGGGAGAAACTTTAGTCCTCTGGCTGTTTAGGACTTCAGCTACAGAAGCACTAGCCGGCATAATGAACAGTAAGGGATTGCAGGATGTGTTTACAAAACATCTGAAGAATTAAAAGTTTCCTGTCTTTGGTATAAGATTTTTGTTCACAGAAGAATGAAGGCATCATCACCCACTTACTTATAGTTCAGCAGATCACCTTAAAAAAACATTTCAAGTGTGAGGTCAGGGTTATATTTTACATAAAGTTGCTTTTTACAAGAGCTATCTTAAGGTTTGCGGTCAAGGAGTGGATTTTTGTTTAGTCGTTAAGTCGTGCCCGACGATGGACCAGACCACACCAGGCCCTCCTGTCTTCCACAGCCTCCTGGAGATGGGTCAAATTCATGTTGGTAGCTTCGATGACCACCTTGTCCTCTGTCATCCCCTTCTCCTCTTGCCCTCACACTTTCCCAACATCAGGGTCTTTTCCCTGTAAGCAGCATGCTTTACAGGGAGTCTTCTCTTCTCATGAAATGGCCAAAGTATTGGAACCTCAGGTTCAGGATCTGTCCTTCCAGTGAGCACTCAGGGTTGATTTCCTTCAGAATGGATAGGTTTGTTCTCTTTGCATTCCAGGGGACTCTCAAGAATCTCCTCCAGCACCTCAATTTAAAAGCATCAGTTCTTTGGCGGTCAGCCTTCTTTATAGTCCAGCTCTCACTTCCATATATCGCTACTGGAAAAACCATAGCTTTGACTTTGATTGCTTTTTGGAGTGTGTTTTTCCCCATTTCCGATGGGTCTTGGGGGTTTGTTTTTTGGTTCCCCCCATTTCTGGTGGGTTTTGGGGGTTTTGGTTGCTTTTTGTTTATTTTTGGGGTTTGTTTTTTTTTGCACCCCCAACACATTCCTATGGGGCTTGCAGTCTTTTATTATTATTTTATTTTTTGTGGGTATTTTTTTTTGGCCGAAATGGACCTCTGGGTAGAGTGGGCGGCATATAAATTAAATAAATAAATAAATAATTGGGTTCCCATTCATTCCTATGGGAAATGGTGCTTTTACTTACGACCATTTCGAGTTACGTTTATTTTCTGGAATGGATGATGGTCGTAAGTCGAGGCACCACTGTACATGACGAGGGGTAATAGAAATATTCCAAGGTAAGGAGGTGTAACTGATTGGTTGATATCTTGTGTGATTTGAGAGTACATTCATGTGTCCCAGCTCTGTAAAGCTTCAGGGATGTTGGTAAGTCTTTTGAGCCAAGTCCGAGGTACCAAGACTTGAGTCAATTTCCAGGTCCCACGCCTTGTATCCGAGTCCCAAGTCTCAGATGCAAGCCGGGAGGGGACATGTGCATGCAGATACTCATCCCTCTCTGCCATTGCACACTGCAATGTGTAGGCTCAGGTTCTGGACATGCTTAGAAGTCTGGACATGCCCAGCCAAGCCTGCCACTTCTGCACATGCTCAGAAGCAGTGGGCCTGGCTCCTGGAAGGGAAACCAAGCCTGGTGCTTGCTTCTGAGGACAACCGTGTGTGGCAGAGGTAGGAAGGAACAGGTTGGTACGAGGGGGCATGAGCCAAGCTCACTGCTTCTGGGCATGCACAGAGGCAAGGGCCTGCTTTGGGAAGCAACTTGGAAAAATGGTTCCAAGTCCCAAGTTACATTCGAGTCATTGGGGGAAAACTCCAAACAAAGTCCATGTTAAGTCTCAAGTCCCCATCCCTATAAAACTTTGAGGAATTTTACAGCACATGTCCAGCGCATGTTAGCAATTTGGTCTCTTGTTCCTCTGCCCGTTCGAAAAAGCTTGCACTTCTGGGAGTTCTCAGTCCACAAGGAGTGGGTACAAGGTAAAAATCTACTAAAAAAGTAACTTCTTTGTCTTGCATGAATACTCAGACTCATTTGCAGGGAAACATGGTGCATATTGATAGAAATTACATTAACATATATTTCAGCTGAATTAGGTATCATATTAGAAGAAATATGGTCATTTTATTTACATCGCATACAATCAGGAATCAATTCTCTTTTATTCTGCTCATGTATCTCACTGAGGGCTGCTGCCTTACTAACTCCAAAGATGTGTAAAAGCAAATTTCACAGTAAATGCTATTCAATTTGAGTATTATTACCTGCAGCAATACGCCAACAATTTTTACATTTCAGTGTAATTTCCTGATTTACAGATAAGTGACCCTCAAGTGTTTGTAAGCTTTCAAGATAACAGCTTGTTTGTAATGAAGGAAAGATTGGAGCAAAAAAGCCGGGGACACCCTCATGCTGTCCTGTAGCCTTGAGGCAGTTGGCTCACTGCTTATTAAGCAGGTTTGCCCTGAATCAGACATGGTTTAGTCATGCCTTAATACTTAACTTTCAAATTTAGGAGTCCTGTGGCAGCTTAAAGACTAACAAATTTAATTTGGTATGACATGAGTTTTCATAATTTTTGGACTCAGAGTCATAATTCTGTTTATATACCTAAATGCTACTTTTCATTGTTACCAATTTTCAGTTCAGTGAAATTTTTATTCAACTCATTGAATAAATATTTATTTTGGTTTCATCAAAAACATGATACTGTATGTATTTTGCAGCCCACTCCTATCTATTCAGTCCCACTGGATTTATATGAGTTTACTCCCAAGTAAGAGTACATCTGAAGGGTACTTCCAAATAAGTCTCGCTGATATTAATGGTAGGCAAAGCACAATATCAAATAGGTAGAAAAGCTTTATTACCCATCAAGTGTATCTAGAAGAAATGTTGATTCAGCAAATAGATCCTCAGTCTAGTTAATATACTGTTTAGACTAATCAGAAATATAATTTTCCATTAAACTATAATTCCCAGGATCCCATATAGTAGCCAGTGGAATTCTGGGAGTTGTAGTCCAAAAGATAATTTCACCACCTGTGAATTAGTTCATACTCACCAAGTTATAAGGGCATTTGTTTTTTTCCTATTCATTAAAATCCAATGATTATGTTTGTTTAATTATGCTTCAGCATCGATGTTTAGACACCTGAGAGCATGCAAGATCTCATTTGCATTACTAACCTCACCAGATCAGTCATACAGGATCCCACCACCACGACCTTCGCAGCTGCCATGTCGGACAAAGATTTAGCAGCAGCAACAAGATCCTTTCTCTACACGGTACACTTCCTACTCTACACGGTGTGACAACGCGCACTACGACTACCTGATCTCATCTCTCTATTTGCCCCTTGTACTTAATTTTCCACAGCCTGCGGGGTCCTTCACCTACCTGATCTGTTCATCCCGTACAGTGCCTGAACGCTACTTTTTATGATTCCCGACCCCATACCAAACGGCTGCTTCCTTTTTCTCAAAAAAAAAGAACAACTCGTGTCAGTCACTACCCTCTCAGTGCTTTATTACAGCCTACCGAAGGCATTCTATTTGTTTATTTATTTTAAAATTCAGGCGCACGTTAGACACCTATGTGACCGCAGAAGCCCACTCCCTTTCTTCGTTTTTTCAAGCAGGCTTCGGGAGCGCGCTTGGTTCTGTCGGAGAGGTTTGCGGGCGCGAGCACGTCACGTATAGGCGAGAGTAGGCTGGTGCACGCAGGCGCAGAAGGTGTGTAGGTAAAAACGAGCGGCCGGTGCCGGGTTTTTATATTTTGTGAGGGGGAGGTTAGTCCGTACTTCCTCAGTGCACTTTGCGGGGGTCCGTATTATATGCATACCTAAAGTAAGACTGGATAGAGTTGTGCCCCTTGAAGGGAGAGGGTCAGTGGGTTGATATGTAGGGTTTTCCTTCCATGCCTCTGCCTGGGGAGGGGGGGAGGGGAAATGCTGAGGGGAATGTAAACTGTACAGCTCTTCAGGGAAGAGCTTTCTGTGCGGCAGGACGGCTTCGTTCTCCTCCTCCCTACCAGTTGCTGCTTGTACTAGGTTTGTGCTGATGAGATGCAGGGGATGTCGTAGTATCACTTCCTGTGAGTCTCATAATTTGGACAGGCTAACCTGTTGTGTTTATTTTTTATGGAATTCCTTGTTAATCTAAAAACCGAGAAGACAGGTTAACAAAAGCGTTAATTTAGGATGGGTGGTGGGCATTTTTTTTTGTAATTCTTTACTATCTTTCTTTCCTACCTTTTTTTCCACTGAGCAGAAGACAGTGTACATGACCCCTCCTCTATTTATTTATTTATTTATTCATTCAACCAGCCTTGAGAGGTAGTTAGGCTGAGAAGTAGGGATTGGCCTGAGCCAATGTGGGGAGCTTCATCATGACTGGCTGCGATTCTCCAGGCCTAGGCCAAAGCATTTATAACTGGTGTGCTGTCTTAATTGGTTCACCTGCAGTCATCAGTCTACAATACAGGTAATACAGTATAGCAGTAGGCTTTATAACTTATTATCCTTCTGAAATATAGTGTTTATTTGCCATCAGAATTGTAGCATTGGCCAAATGCTCTCTCACCCTGCCATCTCACACCAGTATCTGCCATGGAAGACTGTGCCTCCTTCCAGAGCAAATGTAGAGATGATATGGAGAAGGAGGAGGAAGAAGCCCAGCTCATCTTTCTGTGGAAAGTTGTGTGCTACATTTTTGCCCACCACATGGCTGTTAAGCAAAACTAGTCGACAAAGAGAATAAAATTACTGCCTGGAATCATTAGGATGAAATTTTTGAGAGCTGGTGCTAAGACAGGGACTAAATGGTCTGAGTTGTAAAAGGCAATATCAAAAGGGGAATGGAGATGCAAGTGGTTTATCCAAATGGTGAAAAGGAGTTAGTATAAGTTGGATTCCTATGAGGTCATGTCTTCTTATGTCCCTTCTTGAGGAGGTAGGGTGGGCTTCTAGAGCCTGATTCTTTGCAGACAGTTTGGGCTTTGGTGTTCTTCAGTCTCAGCTAATGGGAGTACAGTTTAGTGCTATATCCTAGCAGCTGAAGCTGAAAACATGTGGAAGGCAGCATTTTGTGAGTAGAGTATCAGATGCTCTTTTGTACAGGGCTGCCTGTTACCTTCATGGATTGCAAAGGGGCTTGAGTAACTCAGAGAAGCTATGGGCTATATCGTGCTGGGACACCCAAAACGGACAGGTCATAGTGGAGAGTTCCGACTAAACGCAATCCACCTGGAGTAGGAAATGGCAATGCCACTCCAGTATCTTTGTCAAGAACGCCCCATGATCAGAAACAAAAGGCTAAAAGATATGACGCTGGAACCTGGGCCCCTCAGGTCAAAAGGTGTTCAACATGCTACTGAAGAAATGCGGAGGACAAGTACAAGTAGCTCCAGAGCTAATGAAGTGGTTGTGCCAAAGCCCAAAGGATGCTCAGCTGTGGACGTGCCTGGAAGTGAAAGGAAATTCCAATGCTGCAAAGTAAAATACTGCATAGGAACCTGGAATGTAAGATCTATGAACCTTGGTAAGCTGGATGTGGTTAAACAGGAGATGGCAATAATAAACATCGAGATCCTGGGCATCAGTGAACTAAAATGGACAGGAATGGGTGAATTCAACTCAGATGATTCTCATATCTACTATTGTGGGCAAGAAGGCCGTAGAAGGAATGGAGTA